GGATGTATTTTCTTATATAGAGATTGTATGATTTAGTCCTAACACGTGGTAAGTCCAACTGATGAACATAATAATATACTGTTATTGGCCAAGTTTGAGACTTGATATTTAATGTCCATTCTAAGAAATATTATCCTTTTAACAGTGAAATAAAATGAATGAATGGAGTTTTACGCTCTACTTTTCTTACCATGTGGGCTAATGAAGACGGGCAACGCCACGCAGGGTACAGCGAGGTAAATTTGGCGACATTAGCCTGCTCTTTTTCAATTTCCAAGTAACTTTGACCTACGCAATCAAAGCAATTTAGCATCACTATTTTTTCAGTTAATATTTTATTGAGTAGTCAATCCGGTTGCAGTTTTAAAGGATATACAAGTATTAAGGAATCATAGGTGAAACAGACGAGTTCTATTCTTACAAGTGTTGTGGGCAACTGAATATTATCTTCGTCATCTGGGGAGCCAATAATTATAGACGACTATATATTATAACCTATTTCCTTCACAAATCAACTAAAATTCGTTATACCTTGTCTTCCTTGACTAAATAATACAAGAAGTTGCATCAGATCCGAGCTGGGGAAGCTCGTTCAGTTATCAAATTGGGTCCTCATTTTTTAAGAGATTGTAAATAGGTTTTCTGAAAAATAATGTGTATCTGGGACACTGATATCATCAATTTAAACTATCGTATTTTTCAAACAGATGTCCTTGGTTCCTGCATTTCCACTAAAACTAAGTATTTGGTGACGTCACTAATCGCAATGGCTTTAGGTGATACAAGCATATTTAGTGACCCCTTTAACACATAGCCTATCACTCAAGCTTGAGGATATTTGAGAAAATCCTGGTTTTGACAGATGACAAAGCTGTTTTAAAGAACAATGATTATTTGAACAATACGTGATGTATATTGAAATAGAAAGGCTTCCAAACCGGATCTAACTTAACATTGTATAGCCCAATGGGATAAGACAATCTTGTGTTGACCCCATCTTGTTGTTATAGACATGACTAAGGGCATGCATACCCAGTTGGGAATTGGAAGATGGGGAGAGGGAGCGGGGGTCTTCTGCCGAGGATCTACGCTGCAGATATACAAAACCACTTGGCAATTTGGGTGGAGGTTTTTTGGGTCCCATTTCATTTTTATAGGAATGATTACGGGCGTCCATGTTTAGATTGGAACTTGGAAGCTGAAATGAGTGGTGGGGATGGGGTTCTTCCGTTGGGGTTCTTGAGGTTCCTTAGGGTACGTACTTGTACAAAAATTCTGGATCATTGGATATTTGCAATGCGATAATCTGTATATGATGCTGTTATAGAATTCGTTTTAATTGAAATATCCGTTTGACTTCTATTTAGTTTGAAGAGTGTATTTTATTTATATCATCGTGTGATCAGATAACAATTATGGTTAATATTAATTACTCAAACGTAAAAATCTATACTGTTTTTTTTTGTGGTTTGTGATGTGTTTATGGGTTAATGATATTGGTATAGGTTTGTTGATTAAAGTGATGATAACATAACTGGGTTTATGATGATTCTAATTTGAAATATTACACATTGGCAATTGTTTTAAAGAGAACTTGAAAATTTTATTATGGATTAGGGTCAGGTTAATTTCGAACCGGATCTTATTTATCACTTTAATAGTACATGTATATCTTCTTTCTAACCAATATACCACCTTTTATATAGCAGTTATTATAATATACCACTCCTGTTGAGCTTTTATTGAACACATTGTAATACAATGTTGTTATATTCTGTAATTTAAAGGGACAGATTCGCCATTTTTCCATTTGGATATTGAATATATACGTAGTCTTCAGAAATACTCGAAATGTACGTAAATTGCATAATTCCTTTAGAATAACCTCAATCTAAGAATTGCACTTTCTATTTCTCCATGACTTTTTTAGCAGAGTTTCAAGAAAAGACGAGTCGCCATTTCATCTCTAAACTCACACAAGTTTCGACGCACATGGTTTTGAAGGCTCAGATAACGGTGAGCTGTAAACACTTTTACTGATTAGCTTAGCCAAAAAATTCACGTTTCTAAATGGAAGGCGGATATGTCCCTTTTTAATGTGATCAAATAAGGATTACAGTTTAAAGGGGTTAAAAAGAGATTTTCTAATTTTTTAAAATGTGTATCTGAACAACTGATAGCATCAATTTGCGCATTCCAATATTCAATCAGACGTGTGTAGTAGATAATAAGATAATTATAACCCATACAGCCCTCGAACACTGAAACAATTTCATAAACTTGTCCCAAGGTCGTTCAAAACTGACTCACGGTCCTCAAAGTTCAAGATGTGTGAGCAGAAACTGTAATCGACAAAAAAACAAACAGTGAAATATCGGCCATGGTAAAATAAACCGGATCTAAACTAGAGTGTTTACTATACCGATAGATGTTTGATGAATTAGTCGTGAGCTATCCTCAAGTCAAAATACGCAAATTACTATGTTTACTGAATCATATTTTTTGACATTTATACATAGATACATTATATATATGATTAACGTTTAGGCTTCGTGTATTTCAACGTTTTGTGAGATATCCTCTCATTAGAATATGACTTATATAGTAAATATTCATTGACAGTAGTGCTGGATATATGACGTGTTGAAATCTTAGATTTGCAGAAACTGTTCGAGACAGTAGTGCGTCTGAAACCAGGCTGGATCGATGTAAATAGACCATAACGTAAAAGGGATATTTATAGAGCTGTCTTAGATCAGTGAAGTGAAAACGTTTGTGAAGATTTTTAACATAAATAATTGCTATAGATCTAATACTGTGTATACTGTTCGTTGGACAAATTCTGATGTCACTTGCAATGTCATTCTGGATTTTAATATAGAATACATGTATGCTACAAACTTTAAAGATTGTATAAGATCGAAATAGGAGGTTTTGTTTGATCTCCAACTACCATCTACCAACAAGTACCTAGACTGCAGTTAGCTGAACGTTAACTTGTCTCCAACCAACAACGAACTAGCTAGTCATCTAACAACAACTACCTAGTCTGTGATATCAGTTAGCTGGAAGCAAACGTTAACTTGTCATCTACCAACTACCTAGTCTGTGATATCAGTTATCTAAACTTTAACGTGTCATCTACCAACCTTCCTAGGTATGTTCATTGAGAGCCCCCTAATGGTGAAGTTGATGTAGATATAGCAATATAATCAGGGTAGGTCAACCGTGTTTTAAACAAAGGGTCGGTATATCCACCACTCACGGATTTAACTGGTTTATAGCTTACATACATATACCAACTCTTATATTACTGAATGTTGATACTTTATGTTTCATTTGTGTCAGAATTTCTAAGAAGAGAGCTACACGTTTAGGGGATATTGTTTATAGTGGTGACCTTTTTGTGCCCAAATTTCTTGGGGAGATTTGAGAAATTGTTTATTTAACTGCAATATACTTCTCATCGTGTGTCCGAATTTACCGAGGAAAATGTCTGAGAATTCATATCGTATCGGACAATACACAGACTAAAAATTAATAGACACTTATATTCTGTTAATTAGTACAGTGAATTGGCTGGATCAAACTTCTATTTAAAACCTCGTGTGATTTTGTTTTAAGATGACCGCAGAAGAATGAACAATTTGCGGTACAAGATGTTGCAAGCAATGGATTTAATGTTCAGTTTTGTTGTTATTTGGCTCTCCGTGGCGTGTACACCTTATTCTACCCTAGAATTAGAGTATTTCCCACCGTTTTGGAATGATGTGTGTGCCCACAGAATCTCTGAAGAAAATTCCACATCGCCAAGTGTTTATTTGCAGTGTTCATTAAACGGTACGGAGCAAACCGAATTCAGATTACAAGATTTACACAACTTCTCCGTAAACATAACCGGGGACGTAAGGTATATTGTTGATATTGACTGCTCGACAAACGGGAACCTGTCAATGCGATGGCCAATGAAGGTAGATAAACTGATCGAGCTAAAAATCAAGGATTGTTCTCTGTATGAGTATATGAACGATTGGGACAATCAGGAATTGGAAGGAACCAAAGACAATCTGGAAATCCTGGAACTGATCAACTGTCAATCCATTATCGATATTAATCGCCTCGTTTCCAGTATTCAAAATATTGAAAACAGCAGTCGGGAGTGGGATTGTGGTCATGATGAAACGCTACGTAGAATGATACTCAGGAATTTTACGGTCGATTTTACTTTTGATATGCACGACCCCAATATTATCAGCATCCTGGCGGATTATGATCTAATTTTTGATTTCTTAGAGAAAGTCGATAATCTGGACTATAACTGTCGGTTTTTAAAATTAAATTACCTAGAGGAGACCTATTCACTTACATCTTCTAAATCCTCGCTCAGAGCCATGAAGATCGACTCGGAATATCGCTATTTAAAAACAATGAACTTTTCTCACAATGGTTACACCAGCATCCCGTCGCCATTGAGTAATTGGTACGACGGCTTTAGATCTTTAAAATATTTGGACCTTTCCTATAACCGGATCGATGAAGTTAAACTGGCCGATTACAGTGGGCCACGACGAGGAGATCGTACAGTCATAGACGTTAGATTCAATAACATTACAGTCGTATCATTGAAAGATTTACAAACTTGGTCTTTCCTCAAAAACACTTTAGTTGATATCCGTGGAAACCCATTAGATTGCAGCTGCCTGGAGCAAGATTTCATTGACACTGTTCAGAATGATGATTTCTTTACAGGGGCAATGGCACCGTATAAATACATACAGAACATAACTTGTGCCAGCCCCGCCAGTGCTAAAGGCATCAAGATAGGTGTAGTGAAGAGGGTCGAGATGGGTTGTCCGATTACTCCAGATGACTTGACAATATATCTGGTTGTATTAGGAGTTGTAGCCGCCATCTTGATTCTAGTCATCATCGTCACGTTCAGGTATCGTCGTGAAATCAAAATAATTCTCTATATCAAATTCCATATTCTGTTACCATGGGATGTCGATGATAAAAAAGAAGAAAAGGCTTACGACGCGTTCGTTTCTTACTGCTCCGTTGAAGAAAACTGGGTGCTCGACGTCTTGCTGCCGAAACTGGAAACACCACAAAATGGCGAACCATCTTTCAAATTGTGTCTGCATCAAAGAGATTTTATTGGCGGAAAGAACATTCAAGATAATATTATTGACAGTATTGACAACAGTAGACACACAATCTTAATCCTGTCGAGAAGCTTCTTGAAAAGTATGTGGGGGCTTCAAGAATTTCGTTATGCCTATCAAGAGAGCATCACTAAGAAACGCCGCCATTTAATCATCGTGTTCTATGAAAAGATACCGGAAGAGGAAATGGATACTGTCTTAAAATGCTGTATCAAGACGTTCACCTATCTTGATGTGAAGGATACCATGCTTATGGATAGACTACGATTCGCGCTAGCAGTGAAATCTCGCAAGGTGCGTTTTGAGTCATCGGCAAGCCTGGAGAGTCAGATGTCTCAGTGCTCTGGAGATTCTGGCTGCGTTGCTGATGACCTTGACCTTGACATCTGTGACAATTCTTTAAAGAGTGAAACTGGGGACAACTTACCCAAATTGGACAGTCATATCGTTTAGTAGCCATCATTTTATAAATACTGCGTCGTTCAATTATATTATAATCATATCAATTGGATTTTTTTGCTCTTGCGATAACATCTGTACCATGTCACGCTATTACGAACTTCGTCTTATATCTTGTAATTTCGACTTGATTGGATTGTACGCTAGAGAATACATAGTGCTTGACAAAAACTCTGTCAACATTATCGCTTACAAACTTTCTGTCCAGAACTGTAATTGGCTGTATTTACTAGCGTACAATCCAATCAAATCGCTGTATTCTGTGATACAAGAAAGGTGATTATTACAGTCAGGGAATAAGACTATGTTCGTAATTACTTGACACTGTGAAGATATGGACTTGAAGGAAGGCAGCAATATGTAGTGTGGATATGTTGAGAGCATATTCATTTTCGATTTCCAATTGTCAAGGGCAACGTACACAGTCCTCGGCACACAATACCCCTTCTTATAATTGTCCAATCCAAATTAAGAATCCTTTTTTATGACTTCAGCTGTCTCTTTCCCCTTCCAGCTATTTTCAAGAGATTATGGATGTTGATAAATCATGCGAAAAATTCAATATCTGTGTCCCAGCCTTTTCAAAGGTGCATAGAAACTTAAAAGAGTCCTATAGAGTTAATACAAAGGTTAGAAAAACTCGCTTCATATAGTGCTTTTAGGCCAGCTAGTGTAGCCTCTATTCAGCCTTTTATAGATATTTTGAAAGTTTTTAACTGCTTTACTCCAGCACTGTCAAAATATCTATCAGAGGCTGGAATAGAGCTAGATGTTTCAGGCTAGGCCGGATGTAGTCCAAAACATCTGCCTCCTCCAGCCTTTTATAGATATTTTGAAAGTTGTAGACTGGTTTACTCCATTGGATAACTGTCAAAATATCTATCAGAGACTGGAATAGAAGCAGATGTTTCAGACTAGGCCGGGTGATAAACCCATTTTAGAGACTGGAATAGAGCTAGATGTTTTGGACTAGGCCGGGTGATAAACATATTTTAGCAACATGTATCACACTCTACTTGACCTAGAGTTTCAAAATTCAAAAGATACTGAATTCACTTTATTACTTTTTTTGGTACAAATTAATTACTTTTTTGGTACAAATTAATTACTTTGGGGTACAAATTACTTACTTTTTTTGCTACAAATTACTTTTTTTGGGGTACAAATTACTTTTTTTCACACTTGTCTCTAACATTATTAAAACCAGAGACCTAAATTCTATAGTATTGCTGAGAGTAGGACAGATGCTCAGCAAACAATTGCTCCAAAGAAATGAGAAAAAGAACAATTGCTCACCACAAATTAATAACTTATTTCTTTTACTGTCATATTCAATAATAAAGAGCTATGACTCTTTTTCACAATAGATATACATGTAGAGCTATTATAAGTTATTTGAAAATCCTTCAACAACATTGAGGGGTAGAGATCACATTAAATAATGGAACACAATTTTATGGTATACTACGGTACTCCTGAGTTTTATTACATACTAAAATCAATGAGAAATCTCTTCAAGAAAGTATATGGATTTACATCCAGAAAAAACTGTACCTGTTCCCACTCTTTGTCTAACATTAGATCTATAAAGAATGAAACTGAGGGGTCAGTGTCAATTGATATGCAGCATGACTCTCTGCAACTAAAATACAATTGTATTGTACAATAAAACCCAGGAGTAGAATACCTACCATAAAATTGTTATAAAAATAATAAAATATCATAATCAATGATGGTGGCAAGTTCATCAACCTACAAAATTAATTCTAAAACTCTAATTCTAATCTGTCCATCAAGATTCCTCCTGGTTTGACGGTAATACGCTAGATTCAGGGTTCTCTAAAACTGAGGTCTGTGATTGGCTGGAAGCACTGTCGTCTGATGTGGTGGTTGCCGTGTGATCAGTCTTCTGTTTTTTCTTAGCCCTTGTATCAGCTAAAACTTGTTCTATTGTTCTTGTATCTCGTTTATTTTGACTCGACACTGAAAGTAAACAACATCAAACTGGTACAGGGCTGTTATCTTTACTTTATATGTTTTTGCAGCAACACCTGATGCAACTATGCAAAGGGGTTCAGGAACTCATCAATATCCCTAGTACTGTGGTACACAAATGCAGGGTCGTGGGAACTAAACGGTTAGATTGCCAGGGTGGCATAGGGTTGCCCTCTTTTAGCAGTTTGCAGTTGCATCTGGCTTTAATAGTGAATACACTAGGTCAAGTACAATAGAAAATACCTGAAAGGCCAAAAAGGAGAGGTGTCTGTCCAAGGCAAGGTCCAAAGTCCCATGGGGGTTAGGTTTAGGGTTAAGGTTTTCAGGGACTGGGCACTGCCAGAGGTCCCCGAAATGCCAACGGATATCAGATGGCTTGTTGAACATTTAGGGTGCTTAATCTTTACTTCGAAATAAGACCTATCACAGGCCTGAAGGTAGGGCCATGGCCCAATAGTCTTTTCCCTAAATACTCTACTGCACTCTACAATCTACAAACAATATAAATAACATAAACTATGCAAACTGGCTTGGTAGAACACATCAAAATTTCCTATGATGATATATATTGTTATTTTGTTTCTATTATGTCGTCCTGAATCAGGGGGCTTATTCCCACAACTTAAATTAAATAAAATCCAGATTTTAAGAAATACAGTAATCTGATTGGATTACAAAACTAAATTTATAATCAATTTTAGTGATTGACCAATCAGATGACTGATGACAGTAAAGTTTTTAAAAATAATTTTAGTGACTGATGACAGTTTTTCAGAATATGGCCCCTGGTGTATAAGCGCCTTTAGAAATGGAAATTGCTAAAAACTTACCAAAGCCGTATGATTTATTAGCAGTAAGATCCTGAGCTGCATCTTTAGCTGCCTCCTCTCCAATCAGATGTTTATATTTATCACGATAATTCGAGGAAGGTATCACTTTACATTTACTTTCGTTTTCACCTGCTAATTTTTCTAATTCCTGTTTGAATAAAAATACAGTAAATACTTAAATTGATGTGAGCTCATCAATAGATGATGCAGTAGATCACTTTATCCAAATAGCTTTGTATGAGGCATTGAATCTAAACCAATAAAACAACAGCAGTAGAATTTAATTGACAAGAGCTGATGTATATGTGTATCATGCTATGAACCTAGACTTCTTGATGGCATAGATTCATAGCTATACTTAAAATGACAGGTTCACCATTTTAGACCTTGATTTCAGTCTTTAATATATGTAAATAGTGTTCAGAAGTACCAAAAAGGTATGGAAATTGCATAATCCCTTCAAAAATATCTCAAACTATTTGTGTATGTCTTCATTTTAACTTTCAAACGCAGATAATTCTGAACAACATGGATATGAAGGCTTGAATTTCGATAGTGGGCTGTGAACACTATTACTATGAAGAATATCAAATCCTAATAGACCACTTACCTTTTCTTTGGCTAATTGTTTAGCTTTCTCCGGGTCCCATTCTTCACCGCGCCTATAGGCCAATAATTCTTCATCACCAGGAGCAAATTCCTGTCAAAATTATTGATATATGTTAAAGGGACATTCTTCTTTTTTTGTAGGTCGAAAATTTCTGAAAGTTTTAACTAAAAAATGCCAGCCTTTAATTCTTTGAATCTGGATCTTTTAACGGCTGCATTTTTTAAATATATGTTCATACATTTATACAGATAGACTTGAGATATTCATTTATTTTTGTTTCTTACACAAATTAGATATTGTAATCTCCAGTCAGTTTATTTCCCTAAAATTAAAATAGCTGTCTTCTCTGATAAATATCAGAAAAAATCAATTAGCTTATCTTAAAGCACAGGGGCGTATCTAGAAAATGCCTGAGGGTGGGCCAAATATGAGAGGTGTCTCAATGAGGCGTCGTTCAAAGGGCTGAATCAACTAAGGTCTGGAGGTCTGCCAGAGTAGTAAAAACACTTTGTTTTAGTGGAATTGGAGGAATCACAGGTGTCTGATTGAAAATTAGAATGGTGCAAATTGATGCTATCATTGTCCTCTATACTCATAAATACCTTTAAACCACACGCATTCCTTAAAAGAAATTTGAAACTGACTATAGACCTACCTTCTTCCATAACATAACGTATCTATCTTGTTCATCTAAACCAAACGAGAACGATGTTAATCCAGCTACATCAGCTACTTCATGTCTATAAATAAAATCACAGTTCCATTTAGATTTAACAATTCGATTATAAATTTATCACGCTAAATTTCAGTATTGGCTAATCAAATTAAATTTTGATTTGCATTTTATAAAAATTTTGTAGCAATTCAAAATATGCCAGTTATAGATTTCAGATCGATCTTGCCAATGACATTAGTTTCTAAAGGTAATAAAGGCCGCTAGGAAAAATACACAATTTTGGATTGCATAGTGGTCATTTTGATTGGGAAACTACGATGCAATACCACTTAAATTTAACTCTGAATAGAAGCAGAGATATAATGTCAAAATTATCTATTAGTGCTGGTTACTTTAAGATGTATAAAATTAGGGTCTAAAAACTTACATAATAGCTCTGTAGACTTTCTCACAAGGTTCAAATTTCAACTTCTCTTCCAAACCATTCTTGATAAATTCATGGATCTTTTTCTGGGTCTAGAATATAAGTGAGATATATAGTATAAAGGTGACATGTAGGCCTAAATAATATAACAAAATGACACACTTGATCTGGTTTGTATGGCCTCAGACCAGTTTCATTCAAGTTGAACTCATCGGGGCCACTGAGAACGAGTAAATTCTTGACCTCTATCTAGGATAAAATAATGCCAAGGTGCCTTGAATCAAATGTGGAAGTGCTTCGGGTAAAATGTAAGGTAAGGTCATGGGATATGTGATATATTACCTGCGATTATCAGAATGCTGTGTTATTCCTCATATATATACACAATAAAATATTTTCACTGTTACATCATTCGTAGAGCGAGATAGAAATATTAAAAACAGAACCTAAATGAAACATGTTGTTGTTACTCAGAGTTTCACGCTATGGGATCTTCAGACAACTGACCTTCCTGCGTCCCTACTGAAGTTGGACAAGTAGAGCTAGTTGTCATGTCTATGATTAGTGAATAGTTTATCCAGGTTTACAGGTAGTGGCGGAGCCAGGTTTACGTCTGAGGGGGGGGGGGGGGGTGAAATACCTGAGGTTACCCGAATTTCTTACCTAGTTATTAGATTTTTGCCCGAAAATCATGCCTTCAGGGCTGCGAGGGGGCCGGATAACCCCTCAGACGTAAACCTTTGGCTCCGCCACTGTTTACAGGAGGTAAGAAAAGGTGCACGTTATATTTGTTATTATACAGTATGTTATGTACTTGATAAAGCTGGAAATTACAAGAAATGCAGGAAGCAACTACTGGGGGGAAAAGGATCCCCTCCCCTAAAATGAAAGTCTAATGACCAACCAATATCATCACTGCAACTATACACCACACCCTGTTACCCCTCCTGATATATTACTTGCCTCCCAACAATCAAGTCTGGCTACGGGCCTGAAGAAATGATATAAAGTTTTAAAGATATACAGCTTATCTACCTTCACTCTGAAAACATCTAGAATCTTTTTCTCTTGTTGTTGTTTTTTCTCAATTATTTTCTGTTGTTCTAAAACAAAGAAAAATTGGAATGATGATGAAAGATGAATTATTTACCCATTTTAAGAAAAAAGAACTTAAGAAAGAAGGAAAGAAAAAGAAAGAAACAACTATATTTTACAAGAATAATAACTTAGGTTCACAGTTAAGGATCTTTTCTACCCGCTGGTCCTTGGTCAAACCTCTTGGCATTGATCTTTCCCGGATTATCCGTACCCATTTACAGCTGGGTCGACTGGAATTATGAGTGAAGATGACTTATTCAAAGTCATCAGACTTTCACATGCCAATTGAGATCGAAACCCACATCCACCATTAGCTGGACGTAACCAAGCAAAAGACATCATGTAAAGAAACAACGCTCTATCCGACTGTGCTATAGAACCTCACAAAAATAAAAAAACCTAGCTAACAACATTTGTAGTTTGGTTGACTGGAATAAAGAGAAACAAGGATTTATACTAGGACACAAGAACTTTACAAAATCTTAGTTTCCTTAAAATAATTAATTATCTTAAAAATTAAAGGAAAGAAATACCATGAGAGTAAAAGAGAATATCTCTAAATAAAGTAATTGTTATCTAATTGTGTCCAGTTATATCTAAATATCCCCGATAGAATTCTTCTCAAAACGAGAACTGCTTGTTAAATCTTTGAGCTCTCTAAAAATGTTTGTCCTGCTGTAAATTCTGTAAATTGATCTGGGAAAACTGTTCATTCCTCTTTATTATTTCTTTATAACTAACCATTTTGATCTTTTATAATTTTTGAAAATTTGTCTCTTTAAGTAGAATATTGACAATGGACCTACATTAATTTTGGGATTCTTTCTTTCTATAATATATGACCATGACACAACGCCATTTGTTCAAAAGTGATTAATCAGCAGAATTGAAATCAGCTATCTTTTGTGTTCATGAGATTTTATTAAGATGATCAATAATAAGTGATTATCTAATTGGTGGTAAGTGGTTAAGGTGACGTCAGATGTAATCCACAGAACATCGTAGTATTCAAAGTTTCTTTAAACAAAACAAGAAGGAAATCAACTGGGACCATAAAAAAGATGTCAGATTGTATAGATTGTCGGAATACTCGGATGTGGGAATACTGGGATGTCGGAACACTCGGCTGTCAGAACACTCGGCTGTCAGAACACTCGGATGTCAGAATACTCGGATGTCAGAATACTCGGATGTCAGAATACTCGGATGTCAGCATATTCGGATGTCAGAATACTCGGATGTCAGAATACTCGGATGTCAGAATACTCGGATGTCAGAACACTCGGATGTAGAAACACTCGGCTGTCGGAACACTCGGCTGTCGGAACACTCGGATGTCAGAACACTCGGATGTCAGAATACTCGGATGTCAGAATACTCGGATGTCCGAAAACTCAGATGTCCGAAAACTCAGATTGTCTTAGGAGGTTGATTTGGGCATTGAATATATGTAAATAGTCTTCAGAAGTACTAGAAACTTGCAAAAATGGATTAATTCCTTCAAAAATATCTTGGACTAGGAATTTCACTTTCCATTTCTATAATGTCTATTTTATATATGGCAGAGTCTTGAGAAAAGACGTTAAGTTTTAAACTTGGATAATTCTGGACAGAAATGGATTTGAAGGCTCAAATTGCAACAGTGAGCTGTGAATATTACTGATTAGCTCAGCTAAAAAATTCCCATTTCTGAGACTAAGATACAATTGGTCAAATGGATAGTGAAACCTGTTCCTTTAACGTAACACAAGTATTACTATAATTAATTTACAGTTTTTATATAAATAATATATTTTCAATTGGTGATTATCATCTAGGTGGGAAGTAGGTATATATATCAAGATCAATCATATAGATTTATAATTTAACCTATTACCTAGAGCAACACTCTTATCAATTAAAATCATTAAAGTACTGTCAAATATCGCCTCTGATAGTAATATTTTGACAGATGTCAGCTGGTAAATGTCAGAAAAATATAGGCCAATGTATGCACATTCAAATAATTAATGTCAATGTTGGGTGTTATAAAAGCACTGGTCAAGGTCCCAAGAAGAGAGCATACTCTTTTTACATCAATTATCAATTTGAGTAATAAAGATTGCACCCAACTAGCTAGTAGACATTGACTAAGCTTAGTTGACCTGAATTGAGTGGCAAAAAAGTTGAAAGCCTTGTGTAAGTCTACCATACAAAATATCCTATCCAGGTAGTATGAAGATGGTGACTCTACTGGATACATTGCCAATTTGTTACGCCTAAATGTAGTTCTAATTACTAAATTAAAGTCGACACCATCCTTGCTTATATCACGGTCAAAATATTCAACGGACAGTTCCGATCTTGTAACAAACATGCACTCATCTATAAAGTTAACCAAGTGAAGCTACCATCTACCCCTACCCTCCTTAGTTGTGATTTCTCCATGGCATAAAATGTCACTATTCATAGACAGTTAGTTTTGAAAAATTGTTGAAATGACAAACACCAAATTTGGTCTAAAGTTTGGTATTTCTACAAGGCTGAAATATTAAAGGGACTGGTGTGCCATTTTGAGTGGTTGATTTGAGTCTTGAATATGTATAAATAGTCTACAGAAGAACTAGTAATGTACGAAAATCCTTCAAAAAAATCTCCAAATAGGAATTTCTTTTCTTTTTCCTTTTTTTGACTCAAGAAAAGACGACTCATTTTTTTAACTATCAAATGCAAATAATTCTGGACACACACTCAAATTTTGACAGTGAGCTGTGAATACTACTGATTGGCTTACATAAAAAATTCCTGTTTCTGAAACTTAAGTTATAATTGGTAAAAAAATTGGCATTGGTCCCAAATTAAGTCCTCTAGACATATTCAGATATTTTTTTATTTCTTTGTGGCCCACAAGGTACCACATTACACCTGAGGTGTTTGGTTTCCATTCATTAAACCCTATACCAGATTTATTAGGCTGCCAAAAAATTGGCTGTAATTTAAGTATTATCTCAAATCCATTAGGTCCAAGAAGATTTATATGATAACCGTTATGATCTTCTTGGATTTAGTTCATTGCATATTAGCATCACAATTATTGTAAACATAACTTTAACCCTGTGCCAGTGCCTTATATTGATTAGTAACTGGTTACTCTTCAATCACCCTAATCTCATTGCTCTATCACTAGAGGTTACGCCTACATGCCTGTGCCTGTGCTTTCGTAACATTGCTTAACCGCAATGTTACAACCTAAAATTCCTAATCTCAAATCCAGTTGGCCAATAATTTGATATTTTTTATAATCATCAGAGAACTTTTTGGGTGTCAAATTAGGCCTATAAAACATAAATCCATTACTTAAGCTATGAATTTGGCCTCATCTATAACACGCCCGTCTTCATTAGCCCACAAGGTGCAGAAGAGTAGGACGTAAAACTCCATTCATTTCATTTTTCATTTTCATCTATAACACGATGATGAAATCCAAGCCTCCTACAAAACAACTTGCCTGGCCTACTAGCTAGAATCGGATCACGACTTTTAAACCAAAATATTTTTCTAAACTGGAAAACTAATAACTGTAAAATGTCATCAATGTCAACCCTTTCAACCTGCATCACTGACAAAGGAAAATCATCACCTAATATATCCCTAGCCTTTGGTTGGGTAAGCCTCTGTAGGCTATCACACACTGAGCCACTACCTAGGATGATGTTTATGACTAGGCAATACCATTCAAGCCAAATTATGACTACCGTTAATAATGTTTTGCAAACACCTTTAAGTGTCATGAAAAAATGTTAAATATATTCGTTTCATTTATGTTGACAAATATGGGAAATATTTTGTACGAAACCGATACAAAAAAAAGAAGGGGGGTTTATTTAATTAAAATACAGATTGCATCCCTATCTTATCGGATATGAATAGTCTGTTCATTCAAGGTACCTTTAGCTTTTTTCCTCTCCTCTTCGCCAACCGTGGGAGGCTTTTGCATAGTCCCTAAAATAGACCCCAACAAGTCCATTTTATTTTTGTTTGTTTATTCCTTGTTTTGTTAAGTGTGATGTTCAACAATATTTTCCAAAAATATCACGTGATCAATACTAAACTATTTTTTGGAAGTCAAAATACAAATATTTGAAATGCAATAACATGGGAAAATAATCCTAAATGATTTTTAACTCTTCCAATTTTTTTTTCCTTTAGACAATATTTACGTGACGCACATCACCTCTATGCAACGACCTTGACTGAAAGGTCAGCAAAATGGCTGGCATGAGTTTGTTGCGACCAGTCCTCCAAAGAACTTTCAGGGCTGGTTTCAAACTGAATGGACAGAATGGGATTTTCTCGCTGCCGAAACTACAGACAATTTCAGGTTTTATATTCTAGCAGTATTCAATTTTAATGTTAGGTTTTATTAAATATTTTTAGTCCTGGCTGGAGATGAACAAGAAAGATTAGTTTAAGCTTTTATTTAAGTATTTATCTTGATTCTGGTCTCTTCTCTTTGGCTTATTACAATTCAGAATGCTTCATGCATATGATTTACTCTACTTGTAACTTGTCTTTGCTGTCTTTTTTTTTCTTAATCTTATGCAGTTAAAGCCATACTGATACCTTTCTTAACATAGGCCCAGGACAAGCACACTTTTACTTACTTTTGAACGATTTTCCTAGCCTCTATGATAGGTCTATCAAGTAATTTTGTTTTCCATTTCAGTTCGAAGTATGGCAGGCAAAGCAAAGATAGTACGACATCATACCCAGTTTGAATGGCAATCATTTAAAGATGACGTGGTAAGCATCAGGTCTGAAGTAATGTACAAAAGTGCAGTTGCAACATGCTCACTCCCTAATTTCAGATGAAAGGGCAAGGAAAATGCCTTTGACAATATTCCTTTATAGTATCAGTAGTCTTGTAAAAATTCCAATTACCGTTAACGACAACGATGATTAGATTGAAACTGAAGAAGATTTGAGGAAAAGTAACTACAAGCGCAAGCAACAGATATTATTTATATAGATTGTGTATATGATACAGAACACAAGATATATGGATATACTACTTCTACATTTCGAAACACAAACCGGTAACGTTATCAAGTTAAAATAATTAACAACAATCCTGAAGTAGTATATCCATATATCTTGTATCCTTTTTGTTATCCTTCCTACATCTATGTCATCCCGCAATCCTCAGCAGTTTCCGTAAGCTGAATCTGACCCGGTAGCGAAAAGTGAATTCTGTTGTGTCTTCTTGGCCTACACTCTTTACTTCCGGTATTTAGCAGTGATTTGTCAAGTGATAGTAACATTGTTCCCAAAGTATAGTCCTTAAATTTAGAAACTTTGGGAGATAATTATCACACTTTCATACAAATTTAATTCTTTATTATGACTATTGGTTACATTTTATTATCATTTTAGTTCCGTATCTTACAAAGTTTTTGTTTTCATTGACTTTGTTTACAAATACCTGAAAGTCCAGCCTCCAATTATTAAATTATCATAATCACATGAAAATCCGTTAAAAAATATGGCCATTTATTACCATAATATGTTGCAGAGTGCTAGTAACTTTCACAGAGACCGTTTTCTTCTACATGTCTTACAAAGATTATATCAAACATTATTTCTATTCCAGTGGTTTTGGACAATGTTTTGGCTTGTTCCAGTTGGGTTGATTATGGGCTATGCTAATTTTGTAGTGGGTATGTTTACGTTTCATCTTTCTAGAGCTTTTTAACAGATTATGTACAAGATTAATCCTTGCTTTATTTTTTGTTTGCTTAAGATTTATAAAAAGAAGTATATTTTTCAAGTTTTGTTCCTTATAATATCCTTATTAAACTCTGCTTTTAGACTGAAATATTGATATTTCAAAATGTGTGAAGTAAATTGGTGCATACTACAACATGTTGTTGAATTTGAAACTTTCATGTCTTTACCTGATCATCATTTAATTTTCTATGCTCCAGTTCTGCCGGCTACTCTACTGATAGAAAACAAGAGCAGACAACTCCTTATTTTCACAATAACATTTATAGTCATATAGCGAAAAGAAATGACTATTTTGAACTCTTTAGATAAAGGCTTACACTCATTGTGCTATGGATAATGACTTAAGCAAAAGTTAAGAAGAGTTATTGCCCTTGTTCTTGAAACCGCTTTCAAATTTAGCTCTTAAACACTAAAAGGCATGAATCTTTCTGGATTTTGACAAAACTTGGTTTTATTATTCAGTCCTGAAGATTGAATATTTGCTTTCTAGAGTTTTCACGAGCTAAAGATTGAACACGTTTTCAAGAACAAGGGCAATAACTCATACTCAATATTATTCAGTGTTGTGCTAAAGAGTTCAAAAGAAGTGTATGACTGAAGGTTGAATATTTCATACTGGTGATTGTTACTGTACTGCTAAATATTTATGTTCAAAATCAAAGCTGCCATTGGGCGTACATTATCTTTCCTGGCAAGCTATCTTCAGATTAGTCATTGAGTAAGTCAACAAATAATGTAGTCAATAAGTAATGTTATCTGTGTTGTGTTGTATTTTAGGACAAGCTGAACTTTCTGACATACCTGAGGGTTATGAACCAAAACATTATGAATATTACAAAGTGAGTATCAAGCCAATCTAATTAAAATCTAATAACAATTTCATATCTTTTTCGTTATTATTTTTAACCAACCAAAATGTGTCTTGTAATCCCCTTGATAAAGTAAGGATTGACAGATATGGAAACCTAGAGTAGAGCAATATCATAATTTAGCAATAACCTGTTGACGATATTTAAGGTTAAAATGACACACATGGTCAATAGATGACGTAATTTGCATTATGAACCTCGCTTTCAGTGTCTTATAAAACAGGTGTGAATAAGGTCTATTGAAGTGTTATAATTATATGATAGGGCCCTATAGAGAGATGGTTCAGTAAATATATCTATGATAGTTATGAATATGATTATCATAAAAAAATGATAGAACATATTGATGAAATGGAAAAACTAGCACTCAGGTGAGATTTTAAAAAAGTTTTTGATGAAAAAAAAGGTTGAAAACAGCTTTATATGTATAATGAAGCTGCAGTGGGTTAGACTCTCTTGGAAAATCAATCCTGAGTAAGTGGGCACGATACCTCAAGGTTGAATGGTGATTCTGATTGGTGGGAGAGTGTGCTGCTATAAACAGCTTGAATCGTCACCAGTACACGACCTTGATATAAATCTCGTTAGATTACAATGGAGACAGAAACAATTATAAAGTTGTAATCTAATTCTAAGTAGATTAATTGATTCAGGAAGTTCAGAATTAGGATGTTTGTTTTTGTGTTTTTTTTTAGAGATAGAGAAGAAAAAGTAAAAAGTTTGATGCTGAAGAAACAAGACTGCAAGTCATGGTACTATTATCCTGGTGATCTGCAAGAAACAGTTAGGGCGAGACAAGGTCATGATGAACAGTATGCTGGAATTAATACAATTAGAATGAGAAAATAGATCACCAGGCTGTGAAAATTGAAGTTCTAAATAGACACATATTTGACATTGGCTATGGCATATTGAGAGTAGCTGGTTATGTTTTTCTTGAAATTAAAAACATTATGTAAAGTTGCCATGTGTGATATCGGAAGTTTATTAAATTTATCTGAAAACATCAGAATGTTCTTTTGTTCCTTAGAAAACTGGTCTCTTGTTCTTCAAAATATCTAAAAGCCATTTTTGTTGTAAGTTTGCTGGGCCCCGCAACAGTCTGTATAGCAAAATGTTTTGGCTTATAAAACCCCCAAAAAAGATTAAATGAAGAAAATTTATTTTGGAATGATAAGAATATAAACATACAAACTCAAATACCAATTATTACAAGCATAATTAACTAACAGAAAAATGAATCCTACTAATTAAGGCCAGATTTACAATGGGAAATATATTTTGAGCTTCCATCAAAAGCGTAGGTCCCAAAAGGGGACATTTGTACTTTTCTTTGGGGACATTTGATGTGTCTTTACAGGTTATGAAAAAACCCATCCAACTACAATATCTCATATGACTATGATATTGTACTCACAGTGACATTTGCAGAACCGATCTCATGCAAAAAACAATTAGGGAACAAACTGTACAAAAACAGGTAGAAAACCAAAGAACAAAAGGTATTCTTGTGAGGTTTTCTTGAAACTTTTCATGTATTGGGCCCATCTATGGCTGTTTATCAGAGAAGCTGCTCACAAGTTATTACCAGATTTGTTATTAAAATGTGCTTTGTTTCAGAGTTTGTGTGGAATAGCAAGATCCACAGACAACTGATTGAAAATTGGAATGGTGCAAATCGATGCTATCAGTGTCCCCAATTAACATATAAAGTTATGAAAACCTCTTTAAGACTGATGCAACGAAACCTCTGAAAGATAAAGTCAAGCTCCTATTTACTATGCTTGTCCGAATTATGCTTTATAAATGGATTAGTTTCCCTTTACAAATACAAAACACACAAGGCCAACCATTAAACGTAACATTTTTGAGTATATACAAACTTTTCTGTAGAGCAAGACAAATATAAATCACAGGTCTAATCACATAATTAGAAGACAATATACAATCAAGATGTAAAGAAATACAGTAATCTGAATGGATAAAACAAGTTTAAATTGATAAAAGAATTAAGAGATTGACCAATCAGATGACTGACATTCAAATCATCTTTAATTGTGAAATAGGCTCTGAATTTTGTAGTAAAGTAATAGCTCAAGGTAAATTATAACTTATACCTGAAAATATTTCTAAAGTATGCTATTTGTATCTATTTATCTACTTGATCAAACTGAATCAGTACTCAGTGTACTAATAGTTAATTGTTTGACCAAAACTTTTGGTGTTTAGTTCTTTCCCTATGTATAATAATAAGAACTCTGAAAGTGGGAGGGTCAAGACTAGGTCTACTATGTTCTGTGGGAGACATGGCACCCCCTGTCCTCTCTGTACAAACTGAAGCCACACAATAAAAAGGCACTTTATAAATTTTACTTTCACTTATTGTGAAAAGCAAATATACTTTTCTATACAATTTAAACTCTTTAAAAATCATGTCATTTATATATCATACATACACAAACTTAATGTCATAAAGGTGCGGGCACAGGGCAGTCTTTGCTCATTAGAGTCTTGAGTAAACTCATGCGTGTGCCCTTGCTTTAACAAGATAATCGCGTCTCCGACAGGATTTATAGTATCAAACAAGTTTGATAATTATTGTCTGGAAGACAGACCGTCATCATCCAATCAGATTCATTTTCCTTTCAATTGCATGCTCCCACAAGATTATCAACATGGTGGAAAACGACCGACTGGATATTTTTGTCTCCTCATGTGCCAGTGCTGGTCAGTGAAACTCTTAACAAGACTCTAATCGGCTACGAATATCTCCGACCAAGACCGTTCGTATGCCCGCACCTTAAGATATAGTCAAACAAAGATAGTTGTATGATTCAACACAAAACAAGCGCAGTCCACTTTATTACTAGGTAGTGTAAGTAGCAAAGAATACTATATTATGTTTGAGTTATGTAGCGCTTATTACTACTTATTCTACCCAAAAATAAAATGGACTGCTCACACAAATGTGCATAAATATCGTTACTGGACTTCATATATTATTAATCATAACCTGTTCTATAAATGTACATTAACAAGAAATAACAAGAAATAACAAGAGAAGAGTAATCACTGACCAGACAGTGAGCATTGTATCAGATAAACTACTTTGTTCTTCCAATCTAGGCTTGTTGCCAGAACTAACATACCGACAGCAGTCAATGCACATTCCTCAAAAGCACCCAATGCCATTCCTGAGACTTGCTGAGAAGGTTAACAGTCTAAGACGACTCTTCAACTAAGAGTTCAATTTAAGCCATATCGTATTCAAGTTTGCTAGTCAAAATGTCCCTTTTTGCAATCCAATTATTTCTTTGATAGCCATTAAGTTCATAGCTGACAATTCTTGTACAAATGACACGCTATTACGCACTATTAGTCACTCTTCTTGAATCACGAAATGCAGCGATTTGATTGATTGTACGCTAGTGAATACAGCCAATCAGGGGCCTTGACCATTGCAAACTCAAAGCCATAATATTTAGAGCCTGCTTTTAAAGGCTCTGATTGACTGTATTTGCTGTCGTAGAATCCAATCAAATTGCTGCATTCAATAGTGGCTATTGCAGTCAAGGTATAAGTACAAGGTTCCTCATAGCATGGCCAAAGTTTGTCTTTATTCATCTGTGTCATAACTCTACAACACAATCTCTCTATACTCCAATTAATCCATAAGTAATAATTCATTAAACTTTAAGGTCATTGAATCATGCTGAAACGAGCATATTTCAATAATTATTTAGTTTAATGAATATATCTTTTAGTCATGACACCAGGTAAGTCCAATGATGAATATATACTCTTATTGATCAAGTTTGAGACTTTTTAAATCCATTTCAAGAGTTAATATTCCTTTAATGTAAAAAGAAACTCAAGTTTTAGACATAACTTTCAACAACACTCAGAAATTTGAATGAACCTACTAACATTTTGATTAGAAAATTTTAAAAATGCAAAACGTAAATCCATACAAGCAAAAAACTTAACAGAATTATGTCCCTTTTACCATCTATTTAACAATTTTGAACAAAAATATAATTAATATTAACTAAATGATAATCACACCTAAAAACATTCATTATTCCAAAAACTAATAATCAAATATAAAAATATCATCAACTTCTTCATGCAATAATTGTGTGTAGCCGCTCACGGAAGGGTCTAGAGCCAATTCTGTTTAGATCAAGGTTTATTAATTTGGAATTTTAACCCCAGTGTCAGTGATGTACATCAGATGGTCTAACATGGAAATTTTTTTACTCGTTCAGACGAGATAACGGACAGAGGTCTGTGAATGTCTCAAAAATATAGGCTATTTTCTTATATATTATTAGTAAAGTGCAAGTGAAAGTGAGCAATGAAGAGATACACAAAGAAAAACAGGCTAAAAAAATCTTAATGTGCCAGTTTTACTAGTCCATATGAAAAGTTTAATATAAAGTTTAAAAGAATTTGCTATATTTTTTCATAGAGAAACAGTTACATAAAACTATGGCCATATTGGCTCAGTTATAAATTATATCTTATAATAATTGTAATAAAGGATCTTACATGAAGAACTTGCTAAACATTTAAAGGGATTATCAGAGATTATCTAAAACTTTCAACTTTATCGGGAACACAGATAGCATCGATTCGTACCAGGGCTGTTGATTTGGCTCTATATGCCAGACATGACTGAAAGGGCTGCTCAAATGACCGACGGTCAATATCCTCTATCACACATCAAGTATAGGTTAGCTATTACATGGCTTTCAATTCCATTTTTCAATCAGACATAAAACAAAACCCTTTCTTTTAGTGGAATTGCTGAAGAACCACTGATGTCTGAAAATTGGAATGGGGCAAATTGATGCTATGAGTGTCCCTGATACACGTGAAAATTTAGAAAACTTCTTATAATCCCTTTAATATATAACACATTATGTACATAATTGTTTATATGCATAGGATTATTGACATCATCGCCTTTATATTAACTCTATATACAACATCATCAAACACACAGTCCATTTATATCTTGTCTATTGACAATCACTTTAATATGCAGGAGATTTTATAAATTGAGCAATCAATTCTGAATCTTCAGAGCTAAGCTTATGCTGTACTTCCATTTTCTATCTAACTGTTCATATCCTTAGTTAAAGAAGGGTTTCCTTATTTTTAATGACAAATTAAGCAAACTATTTGATTAATTGGTGTTTCTAATGAATCATCACGTATTCTTCATCATATCATTATGTCCTATTGAATGTAATCTTGTTTTAACCAATCATAAATGTCCATTTAAGTACAGTCTGGATAAACAAAAAAGTGATCGGTCACTCTGCAGGTAATTCTCTTCTAATTTAGCTAGTTATTAATTAATTATGGACATGTCATTAGAGCACCTCTACTTTCTATTCATATAAGTATTAGCATTTTCATTTTCAAAAATGAATATAAGGAACCAATCTTTAATTAAACTATATTATAATCTATTGTAGTATTTGTCTAATGAGATGAATGAACATTATAATTATCTTGCACTCTTAGTGTCAAATTATTGAATTGGAAATTATTTCTGATATATGTTATACTACCTCTTTGGATGACCAATAAAATTTAAATTTTTTAATCTTGGCCAAAATGAGTCTTTGTTCATCAGTGAGACTTACCTGGTGTCATAACTATACAAAAGAATCCCTCTATCATACAATAAATCTATAAAACTCAGTAATAGTCCAATAAACTATGTAATTTTGAAACACGCTTAAAAGAGTTTTTTCAATAATTATTTAGTTTAATGGAAATATCGTCTTATATAGAGATTCTATTGTTTAGTCATGGTACCTGTTAAGTCCAACTGATGAATATATCTACTGTTATTGACCAAGTTTGAGACTTTCAAATTCTGTCCATTCTAAGAGGTAGTATTTCTATTATACATTATTGTGATAGTCAAAGTGATGTTTTAAATAAACTAAAGTTAGTATCAACAACGCTTCATAGAGTGATGTCATTCTAGAAATAAAGTGACCAAAGCCAACAGAAACCCAACAGAAACAAAAGTTCCTCCAATGAAATGAAATGCCTTATTTATCTTTCAATTTTCCAGCTTTCTGCAAGTTTTATTTTAGACCACAATATAGCAATACAAACTACAGCAGAGATTAACTGCTTCTTCTCAGTATATCATCAGATATATATGTAGAAAAAGGATACTCACTACTCTGTGGTCAAGCCAGTTATAGTATTTGCTATAGTAACCCAATAATATGGTCAAGGTATTCTAGAATCACTTAACACAGGTTAAATCAGAATGGGGCAAGAAACAAACAAATCCAGAAAAGCTCTTTTAAATCCTGTTCTAAACTAATTTTGAGTTCATTGAAGTCGTCACTAAGAATGAAATTGCCTTACTCCAATTGTTCATAATGAAAAAGGAGAACTGAAAAATAACAATTTATGAGAAACAGTAGTCATCAAAACCAAAACTCCACCATGTTATTTTTTTGTGCATTTTCATTACATTTTGTAACTTATAAAGCTTGGAAGTTCTGTAGAAAAATAAAAACTAAACTGGACCTAGATTTGGTCTGTATATCGGCCAATTACACTTTTAACCCATGTTGATAGAAAGTTTATAAAGGAAGCAGGTACTTGTTGATGTATAAAGTATGATAATTACATAGGTAATAAATGATCATCTGTTCGGTCTAGGTCCTCTTCTAACTGTTCATCACCTATTCCCTTATAGGGTAGTGATCTACTCTTAGACATGCTACGACACACTAAATTACAGCCATCCTAAAAATATAAAAATATATTAGATTAGATTGGAATTTTAAACTTATTTTTGTGCTGTCTATAGTACAGTCTGTTAGAACGTTGCTTCTTTAAATGACATCAACTACTTGATTACATCAAACAATGGTGATAGTGGGTTCTAATCATGGTCGCAGAGCGAATGATGGCTGACCTTGAATAATTTCTATCGACCCAGCTTTAAAAAAGTACAGATAATCAGGGAAAGATCATTGCCCTGAGGTTTTGTCAAGGACTAGCTGGTAGAAAGGATCCTTGTGAAACAAACTTGTTATCAATGTTATATAGTTACCAGTATATGTTTCTTTTTAAACTTGTTTTGTTTTTAGGCCTCATATAGACTCAAAATTTTAAGCTGAAACCTCTAGAATACGTATTTCAGACATATTTCTCTACAATTAGGTGTTTATTTTACTTGATTCAGCATAGTAGTTATCTTTTTAACACTTCCCAAACAACATAAACTTAAATAGTTTAAGTAAACCTTCTAAGTAGTTTAGGTGTTAAAAAATTAACGGCAGAATTTCTTTTCTCTAAATTTTGAAATTAGTTTTTATAAATCTAAAAAAACCTGCGAAAAAAACAGAATGCCCCTTTAAGTAAACTTAAATCCTACAAAATATAGTTATTTCTTTTCTCATTAGTAATTTGAAAATTTTTTTCATCTGAGAGTAAAGAAAATATATGGTTGGTTAAAGGTTTTTTCTACAAGCCTATGTGGTATTTGTATATCTCTCTACAATTGATGTATTGAGCACTATTTAACAGTGGTATTTCTATATCACTCTACAATTGATGTATTGAGTGATATTTTAACAGTGGTATTTCTATATCACTCTACAATTGATGTATTGAGCACTATTTTAACAGTGGTATTTCTATATCACTCTACAATTGATGTATTGAGTGATATTTTAACAGTGGTATTTCTATATCACTCTACAATTGATGTATTGAGCACTATTTTAACAGTGGTATTTCTATATCACTCTACAATTGATGTATTGAGTGATATTTTAACAGTGGTATTTCTATATCACTCTACAATTGATGTATTGAGCACTATTTTAACAGTGGTATTTCTATATCACTCTACAATTGATGTATTGAGTACTATTTTAACAGTGGTATTTCTATATCGCTCTACAATTGATGTATTGAGCACTATTTTAACAGTGGTATTTCTATATCACTCTACAATTGATGTATTGAGCACTATTTTAACAGTGGTATTTCTATATCACTCTACAATTGGTGTATTGAGCACTATTTTATCAGTGGTATTTCTATATCGCTCTACAATTGATGTATTGAGTACTATTTTAACAGTAGTATTTCTATATCACTCTACAATTGATGTATTGAGCACTATTTTAACAGTGGTATTTCTATATCACTCTACAATTGATGTATTGAGTACTATTTTAACAGTGGTATTTCTATAACTCTCTACAATTGATGTATTGAGCACTATTTTAACGGTGGTATTTCTATATAGCTCTACAATTCATGTATTGAGCACTATTTTAACAGTGGTATTTCTATAACTCTCTACAATTCATGTATTGAGCACTATTTTAACAGTGGTATTTCTATATAGCTCTACAATTCATGTATTGAGCACATGTGTATCTGATACTTCTGAAGACTATTTACATATAATCAAAACCCAAATCAATCTCTAAAAAAAGTGAACAATTGCTTTTAATTGTAAAGGACTTACCGCCTGTAAGTTGCCAAAATCTTGCCAAAAGGCATAATTAGGTATCTGTTCCATTCCTTTAGCATGCAACACAAATCTTTGGTATAAGAATCCTAGTAATAAATATAAGGCTATTACACTGGCCATTCTGAAACAGAAAATCAACATAATATATTCTTTAAAGTCTAAAAGGACATCAACTGTTGTTAAACATAAACAGTGATTGTTGTTCCATAAAGTTGTGTCTATCTATATATAATACAGTATACTCTGTGATTTCCGAGATCTGAGTACTCTGACATTCTGCAAAATTTCCTTCTTATGTCATTTTAAAAAGCTCTGAGAACCAGGATATTCTGTATATTACAAATTTTGACACTAAGTATAAATTTACCTTGTGGAACACTAGATAAAAATGTCAGTTTATGAAATATAGCCACACTCTGAAGGTCTGAAGGTCAATTTGACAAACCTTCAAGAGAGCTGTCACTAGACCCTAACTGAACTGGCTATATAAAAATAAAAGTTAATAAAGAAGACGGCACGAAAGTTCTAATTTTAATCAGACTGACAATCAACAATGTTGCAAAGCCAGGTGATATTTGCAGGTATTGAACTGGAATTACACCATCCGAAAATGGAAAGATTCCAAAAAAGGTACATGTACATGTTTTTAATAGTAGGCAACCAATAAGCCAGATATTAATCTTGAACAGTGAAATATACTGAAGAGTATGAATAACTTACACTATTAAAACTATAGAACCAACACTTAGAGACTTTTTAATATCTATTGGTACACCACAAGCATCTTTATGTGATATTTCAAATAGATAATAACAATCTGTATATTTTAAATTGTTTTCTTCTAAAATCTTCATTCCAGGGTATCCCTAAAGATAAGATATGTTGCTAGGCAAGGTAATATATGCCCACTGGCAGCTTTGTTTTTTAAATTAGAACATTTTACACAATGGCAACTATCACCATTATGAAATATTTCACCATTTCAATAAACAAGGACAATAACTCAAATTAATATTTTCTGATTTTATTTATTTCATCTGGGTTCATCTCTGGATGATAATGAACAATTTCACCAAGTTTCATCAAAATCTATAAATAATTGTGACATCTTGAGTGTTTACAAGCAATTGTGGACGAAAAGACAGCCATAGGTAACACCAATATACGCTCAACATGTGGGCATATAAAAATCATATCAAAGAAACCAAAATGCTAGAAAACATGAGGACGACACTGCTTTTAGCTTTACTCCAGGTCTTACAAATTTCGTTTTTAAATCTACTGCAACTTCAGAACTCCTTCTTTTCTAAATGTTTAAGAACGAATTGGTATGTAGAATCTCAAATACAGGTGGAGAGTGCATCATTACATCTTCTTAATCTTGTAAAGGAACAATAGTGACTCAAAGAGCTCCACAAATAGTAAGGATTGATAGTAGGGAGGGAGGTAATGCAATATATCAAGGGTAATAAAAAAGGAAAAGTTTGCATTCTCTAAGGTTTCATGGATCAAACTCTAGTTCAATGGATGGGACTCGGTACAAGAAGCTGCAGTTCTGCACAATCCCAAGTAAACAAATAGAAAAGGGTCTGCTAACAAGGGAAAATTTTCCTTATTGCACACTCCATGATGCAACACATCTACATGAGGTCAAAAGTACCACAGCTTTGTTTCAATGGAATTGTCCCTTCTACAGCTAACTAATATTGGGCTCATAACAGCTAACTAATATTGGATTGGGCTCATAACAGCTTACTAACATTGGGCTTAAAACAGCTAACTAATATTGGATTGGGCTCATAACAGCTTATTAATATTGGGATTAAAACAGCTTACTAATATTGGGCTCATAACAGCTTATTAATATTGGGATTAAAACAGCTTACTAATATTGGGCTCATAACAGCTTACTAACATTGGGCTCATAACAGCTTATTAATATTGGGATTAAAACAGCTTAATAATATTGGGCTCATAACAGCTTATTAATATTGGGATTAAAACAGCTTACTAATATTGGGCTCATAACAGCTTATTAATATTGGGATTAAAACAGCTTACTAATATTGGGCTCATAACAGCTTATTAATATTGGGATTAAAACAGCTTACTAATATTGGGCTCATAACAGCTTATTAATATTGGGATTAAAACAGCTTACTAATATTGGGCTCATAACAGCTTATTAATATTGGGATTAAAACAGCTTACTAATATTGGGATCATAACAGCTTACTAACATTGGGCTCATAACAGCTTACTAATATTGAGCCCATAACAGCTAACTAATATTGGGCTCATAACAGCTTACTAATATTGAGCTCATAACAGCTAACTAATATTGGGCTCATAACAGCTAACTAATATTGAGCTCATAACAGCTTACTAATATTGGGCTCAGCTTACTAATATTGGGCTCAGCTTACTAATATTGGGCTTAAAACAGCTTACTAATATTGGGCTTAAAACAGCTTACTAATATTGGGCTTAAAACAGCTTACTAATATTGGGCTTAAAACAGCTTACTAATATTGGGCTTAAAACAGCTTACTAACATTGGGCTGAAAACAGCTTACTAATATTGGGCTTAAAACATCTTACTAACATTGGGCTGAAAACAGCTTACTAATATTGGGCTCATAGCAGCTTACTAATATTGGGCTCATAACAGCTTACTGATATCGGGCTCATAACAGCTTACTAATATTGGGCTTAAAACAGCTTACTAATATTGGGCTCATAACAGCTTACTAATATTGGGCTTTAAACAGCTTACTAATATTGGGCTTAAAACAGCTTACTAATATTGGGCTTAAAACAATTTACTAATATTGGGCTCATAACAGCTTACTAATATTGGATTGAGCTCATAACAGCTCACTAATATTGGGCTCAGAACAACTTACTAATATTGGGCTCATAACAGCTGACTAATATTGTGCTCAGAACAACTTACTAATATTGGGCTCACAACAGCTTACTAATATTGGATTTGGCTCAGAACAACTTACTGATATTGGGCTCATAACAGCTCACTAATATTGGGCTCATAACAGCTTACTAAT